CACCACCAGCCCCCGCCCGGCCCCTCCCGCACCCGCTTTTTCCACCACATCACCCCCGAAGACACCACCTCCATCACTTCCTCGGACGAGTTCACACACCTCACCCTGACGCATCTTCCGATTCACTCGACTCTTCATCCCTCACTTCCGAGGAACTCAATGTCGTCCAATTCATGAGAATGGAGCGCAAAGATCGCAGCTCCCGACCACCCTCATCTACCCCACCCTCCCACCTCAAGAAACTCACCCCGAGGAGCGCACCTACCTCCAAGCAAAAGGGGGTTGCTTCCGTTGTCGCCAATTGGGGCACCAACAAACCAACTGCCCCAACGCCGCACGATTCACCCGCCAGTCCGCCTCCACTCGACCCGCAACCTCCGCATCACCGCCCTCGGCAAGCGCGGGCCCCTCCTCATCATGAACACAGTCCCCAGGACATTGACCCGGCATCGACATCGCTTTTGTCGGCCCACCCATCGGTGACGTCCTCCGTCCCATCGATGGCCCATCTGGCATCAACAATTCGTCTGCCTCCCCCCTCTCCGGTGATGCCCCCTCCACCGGACGACTCCCAGGCGTCGCAGACGCCTCCCACTGCCTCATGCTCCTCTACCCTTCTTCCAAACCCGTCCACTATCACCATCTCCGATATTGTTGAGGAACAAGCCCGACACGATCGGCTTGTCCGCTTAGGCAACGAACAACGTCGCCTCAACACCATCATCTCCACCGCCAACTCATCTCGTTTCCACCTCAAATTCATCGCTGCCACCCTTGGTGCGTCTACAACTAAGTTTCGGGCCCTCCTCGACATTGGAGCCACCGGTAACTTCATCACCGACGCGTGTGTCAACAAACCCGGTCTTACCTCTACCGGTTATGACTCCCCGATCATGATTCGTCTTGGGGACAAAGACACCGCCGTCGTAGTAGTCCGCACGGTTCCCGAAACCACCATGACCGTCGGAACCCTCCGCAGTCAGGTCTCGTTTGATGTCATGCACGTGATGTGCGACATCGTCTTAGGAACCCCGTGGCTGGACCGCTACATGCCATATGCATTCCACCCCAACTTCCTTCGCCTCACCAACCCCCCCGACACAACCATCGACATCCCCTCTCTCCCATATACGACCTCCCAAGGCTCCGTCACCCCGCACCAATTCCTCCACATGGCTCGCCTAAACCCCGACTCCGCCTACTACTGTCTTGTCCTTGATCGCGAAAGTCCCAAGGACTTACCCCCGACGGACAAACCCGATTAAGCCCCCCCTCTCCAACCTCGCCATCACCTCAATCCTCGACGAGTTCAGGGACATCTTTCCTGAGTCCTTACCCGCCGGACTACCTCCGGATCGTGGCGTATCCCATACCATCGATTTGGAACCCGGGCATTCTCCACCTTGCCGCCCTCCATACCAACTCTCTGTCCCCGAAGCCGAAGAAATGAARCGGCAACTCGGTGAACTCCTTGAAAAAGGGTTCATTAAGCCAAGTTCATCCCCCTTCGGAACCAGCTGCCTTTTCGTCAAGAAAGGTGGAACTTTGAAACTCCGCATGTGCACAGACTACCGCGCCTTGAACCGGATCATGATCAAGAACAAGTATCCCCTACCTCGGATTTCCAAGCTCCTTGATCGTCTTCGTGGAGCCAAGTACTTTACCAAGATCGACCTTCGCAGTGGCTTCCACCAGATCCGTATCCGCGAGGAGGACACCCACAAGACCGCCTTCCGCTCTCGGTTCGGGCACTATGAGTTCCTCGTGATGCCATTCAGACTCACCAATGGCCCCACTACCTTCCAATCTACCATGAACCACATCTTCCGCAACCTCCTGGAAGTCTGTGTTGTCGTCTACCTTGATGACATCCTTGTTTTCAGTCCCACCTTCGAGTCCCAACTTCAGCACCTCCGCTAAGTCCTCTCGATCCTCCGAGAGCAAAAATTCTACGCCAAGCTCAGCAAATGTACGTTTGCCGCTTCGAGCGTCGAATACCTCGGCCATATTGTCTTCGCTGAAGGCATCCGTATGGACCCCTCAAAGGTCACAGCCCTCGTGGAATACCCCCTACCCAAGACTCTCCTCCAACTTCGTTCCTTCCTCGACCTTGCCAACTATTACCACCCGTTCATTCGCAACTTTTCTGAGATCTCTTACCCTCTCCACGAACTCACCCGCACGGACGAGCCCTTCCATTGGAACGATCGCCACCAACACGCTTTCGACTTACTCAAGCAAACCATCACCACGGCCCCTGTCCTCAAGATCGCCGACCCCACTCGCCATTTTTGTGTCACCACTGACGCCTCCGACTTCGCCATCGGAGCCGTGCTGTCCCAACATTTCCCCCGCGACACCGCCGAGACCCCCTCCATCAAGGACTCACCCACTCACCCCGAGGCTCCACCTGGCGAATACCCCATCGCCTTCGCAAGCAAGAAGCTCCTTCCCGCGGAGATGAATTACCCCTCCAACGAGAAGGAACTCCTCACCGTGATTCACGCCCTCACAGTCTGGCGCCCGTACCTCGACGGGCAATACTTCACCATCCSCACTGACAACACCATCRTCTCCTCCATCCTCTCCAAGAAAGATATCACTCCACGCCAAGCCCGCTGGCTAGACTTCCTTGCCCAGTTCACATTCACCATTTGCYATACCCCCGRCAAAAGCAACCGCGTTGYSGATGCCCTCTCKCGACGACCCGACCACAAGCCCCCCGAGAAAGTTTACGCCGCCATGACTCATATTCAACTCCTTCCATCACTTCATCATCAATACACCCAAGGCTATCTCTCCTGCTCAGACTTCGCCACCATTTACAACAAGCTCCGAGATCTTGACCCAGTTCCCGACTACTCCCTCCACAACAATCTCCTCTACATCGATACCAAAGGCACTCGCCAACTTTGCATCCCCGACGCACGAGACCTCAGTACTCAGCTCTTGGCCGAGCACCACGACGCCAAGACCGCAGGACATCTCGGTTTCCAGAAAACCTTCGATACCATCTCCTGCTACTTTTACTGGCCTTCCCTACTCGCCGACGTCAAGGCATACATTCGCTCATGCCCCACGTGTCAAGTTGTCAACCCCTCGAACCGGGCCAAACCCGGCAAGCTCCAATCATTGCCCATCCCAACTCACTGGTGGCAGTCCATCTCCATGGACTTCATGTGCGGCCTCCCCAAGACCGACCGCGGGCATGATTGCATCTACGTCATTGTCTGCCGCTTGACCAAACGTGCCCACTTCGTCCCATGCACGACCTCGCACAGTGCCAAAGACATCGCCACACTCTTTTTCGACCATGTTGCTCGCCATCACGGCCTCCCCGAGAACATCATCAGTGACCGTGATCCTCGCTTCCTCTCACAATTCTAGAAACACCTCTTCACGGCCTACGGAACCACACTCAAGTATAGCACTACATTCCACCCACAGACCAATGGACAAACAGAGAAGATGAACGATACACTCCAAAGAATCCTGCGGAAGTATTGTCATCCACACCAACACTATTGAGATCCGTTGCTCACAGCCGCCGAGATTGCCTACAACAACGCCGTCTGCCCTTCCACCGGCATGTCCCCATTCTACCTCGACCTGGGCTACCACCCTCGCTTGCCCTCTGACTTCTTGCTCCCTTCGCAGCTTAACCCATCCACCCCCCGCCCCTCTCTCAATGAATGGGTAGCAACAATGAACAAACTCCTGAGAGAAGCCTCCGAAGTCATTGAACAAATCCAAGAACAACAAGCCAACAAGACTAACAAAAATAGACGCGACATGTCATTCAAAGTAGGGGACAAAGTCTGGCTCTCCGCCAAACGCTTTGAACCCAAACACGGCTTGTCCAAGAAACTCTCCAACAAATGGCTCGGTCCCTTCCCCGTCATTGAACAAACCTCCACCGTCAACTACAAACTCCAACTTCCCCCTGACATGAGTCGTGTCCACCCAGTCTTCCATGTCGAGTACCTAAAAGAATACCATGAATCCCCACTCCAGTTCGCCGACCGCCCATATCCTAGACCTCCACCAATCATGCTACCCACAGGCCCTGAATTCGTTGTCGAAACCATCATCGGCCGACGAACCACTCAGGTATCTGATCAACCGGAAC